AGGGTCTACATGGTGCAGCTGCTCAAATATCAGCCCATCGGTCACATGATCTGAGGTGATCTGTCCACCTGAAGCGTGCAGTGTATGTTTAGAAACACGCACACACCCACACACACACACACACACACACACCCACATATATACATATATAAATGTGTGTGTGTGTGTGTGTGTGATTGGGTGTGTTGTGTGTGTGTTGTGTGTGAGATGTGTGTGTGAGTGTGTTTGTGTGTGTGTGTGTGTGTGTGTATGTGTATAAAACACCTTATATATATAAAGGAGCCTACATATATGATGTATGCACAGGCGGGACGTCAGGCACCCACAGCCTACCAGCCCCCTGTACATGGGGTAGCGTCGGCGGGGGTGGCAGAGGTGGCGTCCACCGAGATGCCAGCCCAAGGCTTAACCATCAGGCGAGCTGTCCTGAGGAAAGGCGCTTAAAAACATCCAGTCTTTCGCAGGATGAGCAGTTACCCATCTGCTATTTGAGGGACTGAAGTGGTGGGGAGTTGAGGGCTTCTGGCCTCTCGGAGGCGAGAAGCCCTGGCAGCGGCACGAGCAGTATGGCGGTGGGTACACTACAAATGGTCTGCCGTGGCGATCGGTCATTATCGCAATTCCACAACACTTCGTAGATTTTTCCTTATCAGTTTGTGTTAAGGGAACGACAGATTTTTTTTTTTTCTGACTACATTCCCAGTAATCTTCATGGATCATTGGGATGGGTGTACGAATTCCTGAATATCGGTCTTAAAGAAAATACTAGTTTACAAATGGTACCGAGTCGGTAGCTATATACTGCTATAAAAAATGCTAGTAAACAACAGCCGATGCCAAGAGGCCTTTTCATGCCAGGTCAGGGTGCATTTAGTCTAGACGGACAAATCAATAGAAAACGTTTGCTACATAGAAAAAAATATACATATCTATACACATATATGCTATATTAATCATGCCCGATAATACATGCACACACACACACACACATATATATGTGTTGTGTGTGTGTGTGTGTGTGTGAGTACAAATAAAAATATATAAATGGACTTTAAATGGCTTATAAAATCATGGACAAACCTGACTGATGAATCTGTCAAACAAAAGAGAGATACTCGTGATATCTATTTATATCCCACCGGGAGTTTTAGTCCGAGAGCTCCGTTCTCGTGTGTGATCGCGGGGCAGGCGGTGTAGGTATTCATGTTGCTAGCGAGGATCATGATAACAAACGTCCCCCACGGTGTTGTGTCACTTAAGTTTAAAGAATCAGGAAATTTTTACTATGAATTTGAAACCTTCGTGATTGAGTTATTAAAAGATGTTTTATATGTCTGCAGTTGGGATGTTTTTCCAACCTGGAAAAACATGGCCTTTCTATATCTATAAACTCGTGGGATTTTTTTTCAATGTGGAGAATTTAGATCTGCAAATTTGAATATCCACAACTTAAAACAATATATATTGATTAATTTCACAACATCTTTGTCATGAAAATGTCAGAACTATAAATAAAATCTTAATGGAAACTCAACTCCATCTTTTATAAGGGAGTTGATGACGCTTCATTAAGTCATGGATACTTAATAGTGGGATTAAGTAGCTTGTTCTCGTGCGTGTACAGGATTAATCCTTTGAACTCAAAAGTAAAGCCTGGGTCCGGAGGTGAATTTAAAATAATCCTTTAGCTGCCACTGCAAGTGCACCTTAGAGATCTGGCTCAAACTTTTAATAATGGGATTAACTTTTATGGTGAACTTGGAGACAGTGTGTTACACAGACTGGGCCTATGCAAAGATGTTAATTACAATATATATGCAAGGATGTAGTTGTTGGAGGCCAAAAAACAATTTCGTATCCACCACGTGCAAACTTCATATGGTACCTTAATTTGCATACCTTACCCATGAAACACGTTGTCCACGTTAAGTGTTTTTTAAATCTATCGATTCAAATAGCACTGTCCAAAAACGAGCACCTTATTTGATGATATGAATTCATTATAGACAATTTTCTTTTTCCAGTCAGATAAAATGTGAATAATGCAAGCATAATGGAACAACTTAATAGGTCATCCCATCGGGCTGCAACACCCAGGATTATATCGGCCCCGTTTCCAGATTGTACAAGATAATTGGTCTCATTGTGTAGTTCATCGGTACTAATCAGCTGTAGGCCGTAATCCGGCGCACAAGGATCTTTTACAAAAGCCTCTGGCACAAGATAAACAGCCAGGTTTCACCCACATAGAGCCAAAACTGTCAGCTATCAGAGCCGTGAAAAACGTGTAGTTCGGTCCTACACAGTGTACCGACATCTCCCAAGCAACTCTGTCGAAAAGAGTTCATGAGAATTCTTGTGACTTCTGTCAAAAGCCTAGAATCTGGGACGACACTACCAAGGTGTGCATAGTTCTGTGTGACCAATATTCTCGCCAAAGGCCAGTGGTGGATTGTATAACTGATCAAGGGAGGTAGGGGCAGAGGAGTAGTTATGGCATCCATAACCAAGAGTGGAGAAGATGATTTTTTTGTAAATTTGAGCCCCAGGATATATGGGAGAAGAAGTTCGTAATATTTGAGTCGGCGGCAAGCTTTTTCTTCAATTTAATAAAAAATAACACCAAGGAATTTGCCAGAAAGTCAAAGAGAACGGTATTGAAGAAAGAGCGCCTGAAGAAGAGTGAGGTGGAGGTATTTGCTCCTCAGTTTCCATGATGCAACCAAAATCAGATATCACCCCTTCTGAGAGACGAGGATGGAGAAGGATTATGGAAAGTTGAAGAGCAAAAGCCAAGATTAGTGGCCCAGGAAGATACTGATGACATTGCAGACTGAAGGAGTTGACCGGAAGTAGGTATGGACGGGCCGGAGGCCATCAATGTATAGCGGATGACTGGGGACTCAGCAAAGAAGGTGATGGGAATGCAATTCTCTCGTGGTCTTAATGGAAGAGAGAAATTTGGAGAATGGTTAATGGTTATAAGCAAAAACCAGTGTTGCTAGACATCAAAGGTCATATACCACTATAGGAAGGTAAGTATTAGGAAGGGTAAGGGAGTGAGTTGAGTGGATTAGTTGCTATATGTCAAGGCTAGAGTAGTATCGGCAAGGTTAAGATCGGGGTGACGATGAATGACCAGGTTTTAAGGTTAAGATTAAGCAAGGGGGATTAGATTAAGTGAAGGATATTATGCGTCTGAGGAAGCAGAACGGTTTTCAAACTAGAAAGTGTGGGATTTCATAAGGATGCCTCCAACAGGGTTGTGAGGCGGTGGAAGGGTGGACAGGTGGGAAAATAGAGGTAGGGCTGCAGTTAAAAACGTGGACAGGATATCCAAAATGTGTGGAAATGAAAGGGAGCATACATAAGGAAAACATAAGGGCGAATCAGAACGTGAAATCAGATAGGAGATGTGTTTAGACAGTGTGTGGCCATTATATAAGCGGCGCGAGAGCTGTCTCCCAGATCTGTTCCTATAAAATGGCAGCTTGACCTGGAGCCGATTGGTAGTTTACAGTAATTTATTTTTTTGCGAATACTGTCATCTGGTCTTAAAGGGGGAGGGGGGTAAATAATCCGTGACTGGAATATGTGAGAAGTGGGGTGGTGTGCACATGTTGGTAGAGCATGCTAGAATATTTGCCTGGTCATTGCCGGGATTTCCAATATGACTGTGCACCCAACAAAACCTATAGGATTGTGGCATGTTGACAAGTAGAAACAAACGACTCCTGTGCTTTTAAGGCAAAAAAGGCAGTTCGTACAGTTCTGTAGTAAGGGCAATGGATTCAGGAGGACGGGGTATTTGAAACCCATAGGGTGATTGAGCATCAATATAAAACTAAGTAAATGAAAAAAATTAATGGAGACATTTTCAAGGAAATGGGGTTAAGAAGGACCTTAAGGGGTATCGGCTTTTGGTAAGGCAGGGAAAACAGGAGGAGCAAATACAGAGGTAAAGTATAAGCCGGGGAGGAACGGAATCATGGACAGAAAAGGAATAGGTCGGAGACCAGGGAAAGGGTGAATTGTGATGAGGAGGGTATCCATGCAAATGGAGAAGAAAGGAAGGAAGCAACGGTAGGAAGCAGAGATTAGGGATCGGTTGGTGAGGGAGGGGGGAAAAGTTGGTGGAAGGGGGTAGCATCGGAGAGAGAGAAGGGTAGGGCATTGAGAGAGAGGGTGGCATGCCTGACTCAGTGTACAGGCTCTCAGCTATAGAGGAGTTGAAGGCGCTAGGGGTGAGCAAAAGACCACAGTGGTGGATTGTATTCACACGATGGCAAGACACGAGGTGGACCCAGAGGCCAGTAGAATTCAAGTGGGGGAATATCAGTAACATTGAAGATTGAGGAAAGAGAAGAGATTTATGATATGAGCCCAGGATATATGGAAAGAGTTTGGGTAAGAATGTGGTCCTCGCCAGGACAATTTGCAGTTAAACAATTAATGCCGCTGAATTTGAGCAGAAGAGGAAACGGTATTGGGAGTGGAGCG